GGGTGTCAGTATGGCCAGGGTTCCTCCAGAAGGTATTCATCAACGAGTGCGGTGAAAGGGGGGGGGAGTCTCCAAAGAGCCTCCTCCGCCTTCTTCACCGAAGAGCCTCTCAGAAGAGCTTCTGGGGGCCGCCGACAAGCCTTTTGGAGCCGCCGAAGAGCCTCTTGGGCTCTCCGAAGAGCCTTTTGGGCTCCCCGAGGCCTTCAGGGTCTCCAAGGAGCCCTCCAAGGAGCCCTCCAGAGGCCTCTAAGGAGCCCTCCAGAGCCTCCCATTCCTCCGTACTCCATCGCACTCCTCGGCACTCCTCCGCACTTCACTCCATTCCTCCCCCCTCTCCGCACTCCTCCCCACTCCTCTATACCTTCCCGCACTTCACCGTACTCCTCGGCATCCCTCACAATTCCTCGAAACTCCCTCCATCTTGCTTTTCGGCGTTCCTCCCCACTCCTCTGGAGTCCTCCCCACTCCATCGCACTACTCCTTCCGCCTCCCCATTCCATGGCACTCCTCCTCCTGCCTCCTCCTCATTCCTCCCTCGCTCTCCCTCCTCCCTCCGCACTCCTCCCTCCTCTCTCCTCTCTCCTTCCCTCCCCATTCCATTGCACTCCTCAGCATTCCTCCAGAGTCCTCCCCGCTCCATCGCCTCCTTCTCACATTTACATGGCATTCCTCGTCCTCCCTATGCCCCTCCTCACTTCCTCCTCCCTCCCTCCTTCCCCCTCTTTCCCTCCCTACTGCTACGAGAACGGCTACTACTAGTATTAGTATTCGTATTATCATTAGTAGATTATTCGTATTAGTACTCGTACTCGTACTCGTACTCGTACTCGTACTCGTACTCGTACTACTACTACTACTACTACTACTACTACTACTACTACTACTACTACTACTACTACTACTACTACTACTACTACTACTACTACTACTACTACGACTACTACGACTACGACTGCGACTGCGACTAAGACTACGACTACGACTACGACTACGACTACGCCTACGACTACGACTACGACTACGACTACGACTACGACTACTACTACTACTACTACTACTACTACTACTACTACTACTACTACTACTACTACTACTACTACTACTACTACTACTACGAATACGAATACGAATACAACTACGACTACAACTACGACTACGACGACTACTACGACTACGTTGGTTCCAAATGGGAGTTACTGTTGTTGCTTTTGCCTGCGCGGGAAGGCATTTCCGTAAGGCTTGCGAATTTCTCCGGATCTAACATGAGATACCCTTCCTAATTACTTTTCATTGAACGGCCAGCGCGGGCCATAGTAAGTCCCATCCGGCCGCGCGACGGGCCAAACTAACACCCAACGGGCCACACTAACACCCAACGGGCCACAATCACAACCGGTCGCCCTTTGAACCCCACCTTCCGGAAGACCCCCCCGCCCCCCTTTTGAGCCACAAGGGGAGGCTTGGAAGACCCATCCCCCCTTTGGCTAAAGGAAGCAGCGCCGAAGACCAAAAGGGCGCCGGAAACCAACGGAGCGCCGAAAAGCAAGGAGCTACCGAAAACCGAAAGGATGCGAAAACCGTAGGCGCGCCGAAAACCGAAGGGACACCGAAAACCGACAGAAGCGCCGAAAACCAAACGAGCGCCGAAAAGCAAAGAGGCGCCGAAAACCAAAGGAGCGCCGAAAACCAAAGGAGCGTCGAAAACCAAAGGGGCGCCGAAAACAAGAAAGGCTCAACAAAAACAGAGTGGCGCCGAAAACCAAAGAAGCGCCGAAAATCAAAAGAACGCCGAAAAGCAAAGATGCACGGAAAACCAGAAGTCTCCGAAAACCAAACGAAAGCCGAAAACAAAAGGCGCCCAAAAACAAAAACATGCTCCAAAAACCAGCGGGGCTCCGAAAACCAAAGAAGCGCAAAAAACCAAAAAGCGCCGAAAACCAGACCAACGCCGAAAACCAACAGGGCGCCAACAACCAAAGAGCACCGAAAACCAAAAGGGCGCCAAAAACCAAAAAAAACGCCGAACTTGAAAAAGGACGCTGGAAACCAAAGGAGTGCCGAAAACCAATAGGGCGCCGACCACCAAAGGGTCGCCAAACACTAACAAAAACGGTGCCGAAAACTAAAGGGGCACCGAATACCAAAAGGGCACCGAAAACCAAAACGGCATCGAAAACCAAAGGAGCGCTAGAAACCACAGGGCGGCCGAAAACCACAAAGGCACAGAGAACCAAAGGAGCGCCGAAAACCGCAAAGGCGCCGAAAACCAAAGGGGCGAGGAAAACCAAGGGGGCGTACAAAACCAAAAGGAGGCCGAAAACCAGAAAAGCGCCGAACATACAAAGGGGCGCCGAAAATCAAAGGTGCGCCGGAGACCAAAAGTACACCGAAAGCCAAAGGGGCGCCGAAAACAAAGAGGGCGCCGAAAACCAAAGGGCGCGGAACACCCAAGGGGTGCCGAAAACCAAAGAGGCGCCGAGAACCACAGGGGCGCCGAAATTCAACGATGCGCCGAAAACCAAAAGGGCGCCGAAAAACCAAAGATGTGCCGATAACCAAAAGGGCGTAGAAAACCAAAGGGCACCGCAAACATCAAAAAACCAAAGACGCGCCGAAAGCCGAAGGGCGCCCAAAACCAAAGGGGCGCCGAAAACGAAAGGGGCGACGGAACCAACGAAAACGCCGAAAACCATCAATGCGCCGAAAACCAAAGGGTGCGCAGAAAATCAAAAGGGCCGTCGAAAACCCAAGGAGTACCGAAGACCACAAGAGCGCCGAAAACAACAGGAGCGCCGAAAAACAGAGGAGTGCAGAAAACTAAAGGAGCGCCGAAAACCAAAGAGGCGCCAAAGGCCCAGAGGGGCGAAAAAAAGGGAGGCGCCGCAAACCAAAGAGACGCCGAAAGCCACAAGTGCGCCGAAAACCAACGGGGCGCCGAGAACCAAAGAAGAAACATAGCTTCGACCCCCCCCAGTCAACCAGGGCCATGCAGCCGGAGAAGCCAACAGAAGGACGGGAGGGGGGATATAGCTTCGGAAGCCCGGCCCCTGCGGAAAGTGGAGCCCAGGCTTTCCCCCCCGGGCCCCGAAAAGAAGGGAGGGGGGAGGGGGCAGCTTCGGAAGGCGCCCCCCCCCACCCTTTGAAAGGGAAGCCCAGGCTGACCCCGAGCCCCGAAAAGGGGGGGAGGGGGGTGGGGTAGCTTCCGAGCTCCCCCCTCCCTTTAGCTGGGGCCCATCCCCGGCCAAAACATGCCCACAAAAAGGGGGGGGGTAGCTTCGGAAGCCCCCCCCTTTTCCAAGGGAGGGGGGGGGGAGCTTGAAGCTGGGGCCCCCCTTGAAGTGAGAAGTGTGCCATGAGCGCGCTCTTTCCGAGGTGCGCAGGAGGAGGACATAGGACAAGAGCAGAGAATGCGAGCCCAGCTCCCCCGTTGCGCGATCAAGTAACGCAGGCTCGGATTAGCATGACCCATCGTTGCATCGTCACGGTACGCTCGGACTCTTCTTCACCTGTGCGATACGTCTCTTCATCGCCTGCATCGGGTGCCTAACCCCCATGTGTGGACGAACGATCACGCACACGGAGGTGGGACTCATGCTTCACACCGCCGCCGCCGCACAAACGGCCCGATTTGCAAGGCCAATCCCGTGGCTGACCGCTGCCAGCAAATGCGAGTGGGAAGCCGTCCACGAAGGTTAAAAACGAACGCCGGCAATTCGCAGAAGGGCAGATGCGCGCCAGAGGCCACCTGCCAGCACAGAACTCATCAGGGGAGGACATACGGGGGCTGCTCCTCCTCCTCCTCCTCCTCCTCTCCTCCTCCTCCTCCTCCTCTCCCTCCTTCCTTCCTCCTCTCCTCCTCCTCCTCCCTCCTCCCTCCTCCCTCCTCCCTCCTCCTCCTCCTCCTCCTCCCTCTCCTCCTCCCTCCTCCTCCTCCTCCTCCTCCTCCTCCTCCTCGTCGGGGACGGCACTAGATGGAGAGGTATCCGGATGAGGAGGACGAGCGATGCAAAAGGCAGGCAAACGACAAGACCGGAGACTGCGCGACCCACGCTCATGCTGCGGGATCAAGACTTGCAAGCTCGGATTAGCATGACCTGTCGTTGCATCGTCACGGTACGCTCGGCCTCTTGTCAATTCTGCGATACGTATCTTCATTGCCTGCAGGGGTGCCAGATCCCTCTTAGGGAAGCGCGGCTCAAACCTCTGTCGCTGCACAAAACGCCCACTGCCTGGAAGATCCAATGGCGCGCGATCAACGAACGCTAAACGCATGCTGGCAGTGCGGAGGAAAGCAAATGTGCAAGCCACAGCCGCGTCCCAGAACAGAACAAGAGTAGGTGTCGCTTTGTGAAAAGAAAGACCAGAGAGGACGGAGGATCACATGCGGCACGAGCAGGGAATGCGCACACTGCGCCCCTGTTGCGCGATCAAGAAACGCAGGCTCGGATTAGCATGACCCATCGTTGCATCGTCACGGTACGCTCGGACTCTTCTTCACCTGTGCGATACGTCTCTTCATTGCCTGCATGGGGTGCCAAGCCCCCATGTGTGGACGAACGATCACGCAAATGTGCCAGGGCGAGTTGCATCACCAGACAATGCGATGAAATCTCGACGATGCCATGCGAAATCGATGACGGCTCCCGCACGTCGAACAGCACCGGTCAGAAAAAGGAGCGGGCCGATGGTAGAACACGAACGCATATAGAGATCATCATCGAATGTATAAAATGTCATACCATTACTCCCCGACGTATGCGACCAACAATTTGGACGAACAGCAATTCGTTTAGAGTCCCACTTTCTTCTCTCATTCCTACCTCCTTTCCTGATTCTTCTCCTCCTCCTCCTCCTACCTCCGACCTCCGACCTCCTTTCCTTCCCATCCTCTTCCTCCTACCTTCTTTCCTCCTCCTACCTCCTTTCCTCCTCCTCCTCCAGCTCCTCTCCTCCTCCTGATCACTTTCCCTGCTGTGAGAGCGGCGGAGGCCCGCGACATCCTCTTGCCCTTGGTCTTCAGCGGCAGCGTCGAGTCGTCGTTCTTCAGCAGCACCGTGCTCTCGATGATCACCTATGCGGCCGAGGCTCGAGCGTCTGGGAGAGGGGCGCTTTTTGCTCACGTGCGCCCTGAACCCAAGATGCGACTCGGGCTGGGAAGAAGAAAGGCCAGCCTGGTTTACCCGCCCGATGCGGGTTGGTCTGGCCGCCCTCCTGCAGAGCACTCGTCCGGCGCAGGGTCGGGTCTTCGCCCCGGGGCGACCCGCGCACCCGAGCCAGCAGGTCTGGCTCGGCCAGAGCATCTGTACTTCATCTGCTCGCCTCCGCCGAGGGGTGGGGGGGGGGAAAGGCGGGAGGGGAGGGGAGGGGAACGGGAGGGAGGGCAGAGAGGGGAGGTAGGGGGAACAGCGTGGCGAACGCTGTGGGCGCCACGCTACTCGTCTGAGGGATGCTGTGTGGCGTTGCTCTGCGGCTTGCTGTGTGTATGTTCGTGTTTATGCTTGTTTGGAATCGGTGCTCTTCGCTTGATTTACCCTGCGCCGCGCCGCCACGCGCGTGGCCGCGCCACCGAAAGGTGTGTGTGCGTGTGTCTGTGTGTGTCTGTGAGTGAGTGAGTGAGTGAATGAGTGTGTGTGTGGTGTGTGTGTGTGTGTGTGAGTGTGTGTGTGTGTGTGTCGCTCCTCTTCCCCCCTCCTTCGGCCGTTTCTTCTGTCCTGTCCCCTTCTCCCTGCATTGTGGCACAATTCGCTACGACTGTGCCCCCGTTGAGTTAGCTCTCCGCCAGCGCAGTTACTCTGCCTAGCCGCCGACGCCAAAAGTGTGCGTGTGTATGTGTATGTGTATGTGTATGTGAATGTGTATGTGTATGTGGATGTGTATGTGTATGTGCGCGCGTGCGCGTGCGCGTGCGCGTGCGCGTGCGCGTGCGCGTGCGCGTGCGTGTGCGTGCGCGTGCGTGCGTGCGTGCGTGCGTGAATGTGTGTGTATGTATGTGTGTGTGTGTGTGTCTCTGTGTCTCTGTGTGTGTGTGTCTGTGTGCGTGCGTGCGTGCGTGCGTGCGTGCGTGCGTGCGTGCGTGCGTGCGTGTGTGTGTGTGTGTGTGTGTGTGTGTGTGTGTGTGTGCGTGTGTGTGCGTCGATGTCACCCCGCTCGGAGGGGGGGAGGAGGAGGAGGAGGAACAGCGGCGACCAGGCATGGACAGGGAGAGGGGGCAGCAGCAGGCGAGCAAGCAGGCCGCCAGGCAAGCGCACGTTGGAGGGGGCGGGGGCCGCCTTCGGCCGCGGCGGCGGCCTCGGGAGGCCCCAAGATGGTATCCCCCCCTGGTCGCTCCGACGGCGGTGACGGACCCACTGGAGCGTCCAACATGGCCCAAGGATGGCTCCAAGAGGGCCCACGATAGCCCAAGATGGCCGTTCAGATGGCCCAACATGCTTCAAGGTGGCTCCAAGAGGCCCACGATGACCCAAGATGGTTCCAAGAGGGCCCACGATAGCCCAAGATGGCCTCTCAGATGGCCCAAGATGCTTCAAGGTGGCTCTAGATGGCTTCCGCCATACCTCCAGCATGCTCCAAGGCAGCCCTGAAGCAGTTGCAAGTGCCCTCCCAACCTTTTTAACTTACGACTCGATTCCGCCGGGCCGCCGGTTCGCGTCCGGCCGATTTCTGAGGCCTCAATCGAGGTTTCCCCGGAGAGGCCGGGGAGAGCCCCAACAGGGGCCCAAGAGGCCCCCAAGACAGCCACGAGAGCGCTGTAATAGCGCCCTAAGAGGGTTTCAAGAGATCGTGGTTCGGTCTCAGAGAGGGGGGGGGGGGGGGGCAGAATCCCGCTCCAAGCGGCCCCAAGACCGCACCAAGACGGGACGGCTCGAGATGGCCACGGGGCCTCCCAAGCCTCCCTCGCTGTTCGACTAGGCGTGCCTCCTCCTCTATCCCCCCGTCAACTCTCACGGGCATCGTTTCTGGATGGGCTGGTGGGGCATGGTGGGGATACTTCTTTTTGGCACGAGGGCTCGCGAAGCAGGTCAAAAGCCGGGCAAAGCTAGGGCGGGCCGCGCCGAAGCAACAGGGAAAACAGAACAGAGCAACGCCCAGCTCAGACGCGGGCTCGCTGGTGGGGATGTTTTTTTGGTCGCGGCCGCGGGCGAGAGCGCACACGGCGAGTCGTAAGTCCGGGGCGCGGGCCTACTAATTGACAACAGGAGCAAACTAGAGCCGCACACCTACACTGCCTGCTGGTGGGGATGTTTTCTTTTTACAGCCGCAGGCGGAAGCGCCGGCGGCGAGCAGTCACGGTCGGGCTGCGGCCGTGACGAATTCCCGGGCGCGCGCGGGGGCCGCGGATCAGGCGGCGGGGCAAGCAGCAACCCAGGGCGTCTGAGAGGCCAGGCGGTCGTGCAAGCTGCAACCCGCTGGTGGGGATGCGCGAAGCGTCAAGAATTAGCCTCCCTCCCCTTTGAACCATGGGGCCCACGATCGCTCCGAGAGGGCGCCACGGCCCCTACAGAGCCCCAATGGGACCCCAAGAGGACCCGTAAGGCATCAATCGTGGCGCCACCGTTGCTCCAAGAGGCCTTCAACGAGGCCTCCAGGAGGCTTCCCAAAGGCTCGTCACAGATCGTGGTCTGCAGCCCCTGCGCTCAGCGCAACGGCGCTCTCACAAACATCGCGACGCACGTCGCGCGCGGAGGGAGGGGACTCCACCTCCTTCTCCACCTTCTCCTCCCCCTCGTTTTGAAGCTGTTGCTCCTTCGCCTCTTCCTCTTCCTCATCTGTCCTCTTCTCTGTCTTCCTCTGTCTTCCACATCATGGTTCTGCTATCCCTCCGTTTTCTTCTCTTCTTCCGCCCTCCATTGCCTCCATTTCCTCATGATCCTCCTCATCCTCCTGCCCCTTCTCCTGCTCCTCTCCCTGTTCCTCCTGCCCGTCCCCTCCTCCTCCCTATCCTCCTCTCCTCCCCTTCCTCCTCCTCCTCCTCCTCCTCCTCCTCCTCCTCCTCCTCCTCCTCCTCCTCCTCCTCCTCCTCCTCCTCCTCCTCGCTCCTCGAGAAAAGGAGGGGGGGCGGGGCGAGCGGCGAGGACCGGAGGGCGGGCGACGCCTGCTTGGCGACCTCTCGGTGCGCGTCGCTGGTGGCGTCCTGCCCGCGCCCGCGCCGCGGCGGCTGCGGCCCCAGGCGACCTCTTCCGTCCCCCTCTCCGCTCCGTCCTCCTCGTCGTCCTCTTCGTTCCCGTCCTCCTCCTCCTCCTCCTCGTCCTCCTCCTCCTGCTCCTCCTCCTCTCCTCTTCGGCCTCCTCGTCGTTCCCGTCCTCCTCCCTCCTCCTCCTCCTCCTCCTCTCCTCCTCCCCCTCCTCCTCTTCCTCCTCTTGCTCCTCCTCCTCCTCCCGCTCCTCATCCTCCTCCTCTTTGTGTTTTTGATGTTGTTTTCCCCTCTCTCTCTATTCCTCTCCCTCTCGCTCCCTCTCTCGCACGGCTGCGGCGGCCATCCGTTGCCTCAGCAACCCGAGAGCGCGGCCGATGGCCGCGCGCCGCCCGCGGTGCCACTCCACTGTCGGCCCTTCTGGCACACGGTGGTCCGCGCCTGCGGTTCGTGACGCATGGTGCCCAGCTTGTTGCCATTGCCGGCTCTTCTCCTCCTCCTCCTCCTCCTCCTCCTCCTCGTCCTCGTCCTCGTCCTCCTTCTCTTACTCCTCCTCGACCTCCTCCTCTTCCTCCTCTTCTCCTCCTCCTCCTCTTCCTCCTCCTCCTCCTCCTCCTGTTCCTCCTCCTCGTCCTCAACCTCCTCCTCCTCCTGCTCCTCCTCTTCCCCCTCCTCCTCCATTGTTGCGCATGCCAATGTTGGCCCACATGTGATGCATGCAACAGAACAAAGAATTTGTAGTCACTCGTGCCATCTGGATTCTGGGCCACCCATGAGCCTTGTCTCGGCGACAGCGGCGATGGCCTGCTGGACCTCAGCCTTGGCACGTATCCATGCCCCATCGACCTGCCGTTGACGGTGCCGTCCTCGGTGATCACTCTGCTGTATTCCACCGTGCCTGCCTGCTCCGTGCGGTCCCTGCAGGATGCGCCAGGCAACGTCGCAGGAAACGCTCCCGACGTAGGCCAGGTGCCCGCCGTGCACTCTGCGTCTCTTGCCGCGGCCACAGCTCTGGCCGCCTCCGTTCCTGCCCTCTGTACCAACTGGTCGCCCCGCAGCCTGGTCGCCCAAGGGGCCGCGCGCCGGAAAAGCATCCGGAGGCTGGCTGACGGAAACACATCCCGGAGGCCGCGCGCTGGAGAAACGTCCGGCCACATGTGTTTCCAACTCTCGCCCAGGCCGGCCCCGCCACGTGCATCCAGCTTCCCCAGAAGCTGGTGACGCTCTGCACCACTGGTCGCCCCGCAGCCCGCTGCTACTGCTGGTTCTTCTCCCACTTCCCATAGTTTCGCACATGTTCTCGGGGAATCGACGACGCATTGTGTTTGTGTTTTTTTTCCGCCCCCGATTTTGGGCCCACGAAGCAGCGGCAGCACCATCTCTTGGGCTGTAGCTGGTGACGTCTTTGAGCTCTCCTCCTCCTGCTCTGTGCCATCCGACGCCATCGTGGCGTCGTCCTCCGGCTCGTAGCTCTCTTCCTCGGGCTCCTCGTCGCTCTCCTCGGCATCGTCGTGGCCCTCGTGCGGCCGAATCCCTGCCGTCCTCTCTATCCCATAGCGCCACTAATGTTAGGTCGGGCGTGTCCTCCTACAGGCGGATTTTGGAAGACAAATGAACCATGATCAAAAAATAAAATGAGTCAGAAAAGCACGACAAATCATCTCCAGGCTATGTGTTTTTACTATGTTGGAATATTCCTCCTTTTCGAGGGACGTACCCGACTTAACACTAATGACAATGCCGTCCCTTCTCGCACAGCCGCGCTGCCACTGTCGCTCCTTTTCGTGCACTGCACAGGCTGCCACTGCCCCTGAACTGCCACTGCCGTCCCTCTTCGAGCTGCCGTTCCTGTCGCTGCCGTTCCCTGTCGTTGTCGCACATATCCTTCTCCGCCGCCGTTTCCTTCGGCGGCTGGGCATTTCTGATGTCGCCGATGAGCAGCGGCACGATATGCACTATATCTCGCTGGCCACTTTCGACAGCGAATGTGCAGACATTCGCCAAGCACTGGTGGAGGATATTTGGAGCAAGTACGTCACGCCAGACCAGCAGGTCCCGAAGCCTGTAAGCCACGCCCGAACCCTCACCGTTTACGACCGCCTCATGCAGGACGTCCACGTCCAGCTCGAAACGGGACGATCTATGCCGTCTCACGTCGTAGCTGATGGCATCGGTCTCATGCGTCGCCTCACCTCAGCCCTCGCAGCTGATGGCATAGGTCTCGATTTTCGCTGTGCCGCCCTCGTAGCTGATGGCATCGGGCTCCTGTGTCGCGTCGCCACCGTCGCGGGTGATGCCGTCGGGCTCGCGCTTCGTAGCAACACTCTCACAGCTGACGGCGTCAGGCTCGTGTTGGCCCCAGCTTGTAGTGAGTCATAGCCGATGGCATTGGGCCCATGCGTCGCGACACCGCTCTCGTAGCTGGTGGCATCGGGTTCGTGCTTCGCTGTGCCGCCGCCTTCGTAGCTGATGGCGTCAGGCTCGAGGCGCGCCCCGTCCGTCGTGAGTGATGACGTCGGGGCCGTACTCCGTGCTGCCATCTCCGACTGTTAACGCTGCTGCCACTGCCGTCCCTTCTCGCACAAAGCCTGCCTGCATTCCCTTCTCGCACCACTGCCGGTCCTTCACGCACCAGTGTGGGCCCTTCTCGGACCAAGGCCGGCCCGTCTCGCAGTGCTGCCGGCCCGTCTTGCTCCGCTGCCGCAGCGTGTGTGTACGTGTGTGTGTGTGTTGCCACTGTTCCCGCGCATTTCGCTGATGGCGTCTGGGGTTCTTCTTCCTCCTCCTCCTCCTGACCACCAATTGCTGCCACTGCCGGCTCTGCTGTTCTCTGCCAGCGTGCGATTCTTTGGCGCCTCGCCATGATGACCTCGCGCACACGTTTGGCCATCTCGAAGGCATCGGCGTTCGACACTGCCGGGTCTCTTTCGCAAATACGGGTTCACGCATGTAGCTGATGACGTCTGGTTTCCGCCACTCTCGCCACTGACCGCTGCCAGCTCTTCTCGCGCAAGCGGGCGCGCTGTAGCTTTCACATGGTTTTTGCGACTCTGGCCACCGACCGCTGCCGCTGCTGACCCTTCAGGCAGGCACGGACTCACGTATTTAGCTGACTGGCACCGCCGCTTCCTTTTCGCACGTGCGAGTCCACGCCTGTAGCCGAGGACGTTTGGTTGCTGTCTCTCACGCCTCCGTAAGCTGCCATGGCCGACTCTTCTCGCACAGACGGGTAACGACACACACGCGAAACTGATGACATTTGGTTTCTGTCTCTCTCGTCGCCGGCGCTTCCCGCACGCTCTGTTTCAGCCGTCGTTTCTCGCACGCTATGTATCTGGCATGTGGACTCTGGCATCCAGCGTTGCCCCCTGAACGGCTCTTTGCGCTACCAGTCGGGCCTGTCCTCCTACAGGGCGACTTTGGACTAAAAAAGTCCCCTTAAAATGTACCACGTTGGCAAAACAAAATCGTCCCCAGGCTACTATTCGACTATTATTGAACTTTCCTCCTGTAGAGGGACAGGCCCGACTTAATGCTGCCACTGCTGCCATTGTCGATGCGGCCACTGCTGCTGCCACTGCTGCCAATGCTGGCGCGGCCTCCCTGGATGAGTCCACCAGCTCTGCCATTCTCGACGCTGGGCCTGCCGCTTGTCGACGCAGTCTTTCTGCGAAAGAACAGAAAACGGCATGGCCATAAACTTCAGAAGGCCGCGCGGATGTCTCGGATCCGCGCTGGGCCCCCTCCCTGGCGCGCGGAGCGGGCCAGGGGCGGCGCCGGAGGCGCCGCCAGGGGGGCCCAGCGCGGATCCAAGAAATCCGCGTGGAGCTCCCGAAGTGTACGGTTATCGCGTTTTTTCACCTTCGAATCTGCTCATGCATCTGGGCTTCCGTGGCCTGCTGGGCCGCCTCCCGACTACCTACCAGACCACCCGAACCCACAACCCGAAGACCCGAATTTCGGGTTGAAGGGCCGGGGGGGGGGGGACGGGCTTCCCGCGTTGTTCCCACGTTCCCCGACCCCCCCCCCCCCGCACACTGGAAGTGGAAGGCACATCGGGGCCTTCGGTTTTTGAGCTCAACGCTCCACCTCTGTATCTAGACATGGGAGGTCGAACGAGCCGAGGACGACCAGCACGAGCACCCAGACGAAGTAGAGCAGCGGCACGAGAGGGACGTACAGCTGCGCCTCGATGAAGGCGAGGCCACCTCTGGGCTGGGTCGGGGTGGCTTGGCGGGCGGTGGCCTTCTGCTTGGTCTGGCGGGCGCGGCGGGCTCGCCCGGCCCAGGAGCTCGTCGTGCCCGCCGCGCCGAAGCCGCTCTGCTCCACCAGGGCGGCCTGCGCCCGCCGATCGCCGCGCGCGAGGCCGGCGGGCCGAGGCCGTCCCCCCCCCCCCCGGCACGCGCGGGGGAGTCCGAGGTTCCACGAGTTTCCCGCAGCGGGCCTTCCTCCTCCTCCTCCTCCTCCTCCTCCTCCTCCTCCTCCTCCTCCTCCTCCTCATTCCTCCTCCTTTTCCTCCTCCTCCCCTCTCCTCCTCCTCCTCCTCTCTCCTCCTGCTCCTGCTCCTGCTGCTCCTCCTCCTCCTCCTCCTCCTCCTCCTCCTCCTCATTACCCCCTTGTTGTCGTCGTCGTCGTCCTCCTCCTCCTCCTCCTCCTCCTCCCACGCCTCCACCTCCGCCTCCGCCTCCTCCTTCTTATTATGTTCCTCCTCATCGTCATCGTCGTAGTAAATAATAATAATAATAATGATAAAAATAATAATATTAATAATACTCATAGTAATAATAATAATCATAATGCTTAAAAAAATAATATAATAATACTAATAATAAGAATAATAATAATACTAATCATCATCATCATAATCAGAATCATAATTCCAATCACAACCATAATCATAATCGTAATCATACTCATAATACCCATCATCATCAGCATCATCATCAATAATCGTCATCAATCATCATCATTATCATCATCATCATCAGCATCCTCATCAACATCATCATCATCATCATCATCATCATCATCACCATCACCATCACCATCAGCAGCAGCAGCAGCATCAGCATCATCAGCATCATCGTCATTGTCATCGTGATCGTCATCATCATCAGCATCAGCATCACCATCATCATCGTCGTCGTCATCGTCGTCGTCATCGTCATCGTCGTCATCATCATCAGCATCATAAGCAGCTTCACTATCATCATTATCAGCATCATCCTCATCATCAGCATCATCAGCAGCAGCATCATCATACGCAGCATCAGTATCATCATTATCATCATCATCATCATCATCATCATTATTATTATTATTATTATTATTATTAGTATCATCAGCGTCATCGTCATCATCAGCATCAGCATCATCGTCATCGTCATCATCATCATCAGCATCATCGTAATCAGCATCAGTATCATCATTATCAACATCATCATCATCATCATCATCATTATCATCATCCTCGTCGTCATTGTCTTCGTCATCGTCATCGTCAGCATCATCATCAGCATCGGCAGCAGCAGCATCGTCATCCTCATTATCATCCTCATCCTCGTCCTCAACCTCATCCTCATCGTCGTCCTCATCCTCATCCTTATCATCATGAGCATCATCATCGTCATCATCATCCTCATCATCCTCATCCTCATCCTCATCATCATCATCATCGTCATCGTCGTCGCTGTCATGGTCATCGTCTTCATAATCATCATCATCATCATCATCATCATCATCATCATCATCATCGTCATCATCATCATCATCATAAGTAGCATCAGTATCATCATTATCAACATCAGCATCAGCATCATCAGCATCATCATTATCATCGTCTTCATCATCAGCATCATCATCACCATTATCATCGTTATCATCGTCAGCATGATATGCATTGTCATCATCATGATCATCATCAGCATCGTCATCGTCATCATCATGATAAGCATCATCATGAGCATCATTAGCATCATTATCAACATCACCATCATCAGCATTATTTATTATTATTATCATCATCATCATCATCATCATCGTCGTCATTGTCATCGTCATCGTCAGCGTCATCGTCATCGTCAGCATCATCATCATCAGCAGCATCGTCATTCTTATCCTCATCCTCATGCTCGTCCTCACCCTCATCCTCATCCTCGTCCTCGTCCTCATCCTCATCCTTATAATCATCCTGATCCTCATCCTAATCCTCATCCTAATCCTCATCCTCATCCTCCTCATCCTCATCCTCATCCTCATCATTACCACCACCATCCCAAAAACTCCATTTCACACGCCGCAGTCGTCTCGCGCCCCCCTCCTCCTCCTCCTCCGCCTCCTCCTCCCTCCTCCGCGCACCGCCCCTCGGCGCACCGCGACTCCTCATTGATCTTGCCGAAGGCGCCAGCCTCCGGGAACACGCCGTCGATCTGGCCTACAATCGCGCACAACGCTTCCCCTCTTCCTCCTCGATCCTCCTCGCTCCTCGGTTCCCCTCCTAGGTTCGGTCCTCTTCTTCCTCCTCCTCCTCCTCCTCCTCCTCCTCCTCCTCCTCCTCCCTCTCCTCCTCCTTTCCTCCTTTCCTCTCCCTTTTCCCTCCCTTTCCTCCTCCCTGTCCTCCTCCCTTTCCTTCCTCCTCCTCCTCCTCCTCCTCCTCCTCCTCTCCTCCTCCTCCTCCTCCTCCTCCTCCTCCCTCCTCTTCTTCCTCCTCCTCCTCCCTCCTCCTCTTCCTCCTCCTCCTCCCTTTCCTCATCCTCCTCCTCCTTATCCTTCTCCTCCTCCTCCTCCTCCTCCTCCTCCTTCTCCTCCTCCTCCGCCTCCCCTATCATCGCCTTCCTCGAACCACGAGGCTCGAGAATCCGAGTCGTTTTTGTTCGGGGGCGTTTTCCGGAGGGGCGGCCCCGAAACCGCCCTTCCGCGCAGCGGCCCGGGGAGCCTGGGCCGGCGGAGCTCGAAGGCCTCAGCGGCGCACTGTTCGAGCGCGTATTTGTTTGGTTTGATTCGCGATGCAGTCACAAGTTGGGGCCGCGCAGGCATGGATTAGCGATCCATGCACTTGGCGCGCGATCGCAAAATCCATGGACTGGGGGAGGTGCCCTCTCCAAAATGCCGCCGGTGCCACCCCACACGGCGGCGGAAAGCCGCGATCCCCCATGGAAACGGGACCCATCGCTAACTAATCCACGCCCCAATTGATCCATTTTGCGATTGCTTGAAAAACATACACTGCGGACGGGTGGTAAGGACGCGAGACGTTTGGAAACCTAAGTTGGGATTTTTGTGGCGGCGGGCGACCAGCGAATACTGCAAAGCACGGGCCGCAGACGCAAGGACAAAAGGGCACCCTAGATGAATGCGCGCGTGCTTACTAGGCGCGTTGACTGCACAGCCAAAACTGATAGCAAGGATGCGCGACAAGGTCGCAACCCTTTGGGCGCCCACGTCGAAGCTTCTGGAGTTGGGCTGACCATCGAACGTAGCCAGGGATGGACCGAAAAGGCAAGGATGCAAGGGTACACTCAGGAGTTCGAGGACCTCTCGGGCTCTCGGGCGCGTTGTTTGAACGCGTGTTTTTTTCCGATTCGCGATAGCGGCCGCTACCGGGGATGTTCCCCCCGGCGAAGCGCGGATCTGTCCATGTTCACCGCCATGGGGCCCCTGGGGGTCCCGGATATATCCATATCATCGCTAGTGGATATCCGCGACAAACAATCCTCCAGGCTGCGGTTATGTACGAATCCCCGCCTCGGGCCCCCTCCGTTCTTTGCGACGCGCGCGCTGAGCGGTCGTGGCGCCGCGCGGCGGCGCCCAACGCCTCGAGAGGCGGTGCCCGGCTCAGGCGAGAGCACCTTATGCAGTTGGGGGGGGGGCCCGCCACACACGGCCCGCACGGGGGAGCGCGGGACTGCACGTGACGGGCAACCGCCTCCGCAAGCGTCACTGGCAACGCACCGCAGGACGGGGCGGTGCCGGCCGGGGCCCAGCTGGTGACGTCACGCTTCGCGCCAGCGCCGTGTGGGAACGGCCAGGGGCAGCTACTTCCCAGACGGCGCGGGCGCGAGGCGTGACGCTACCGGCCCCCTCGCCCCCTCTGGTACTGGCCGCTGCCGCGAGAGGGTTTAGTAAAAAAGGCCGACCTCGATCCTCTACCTCGCTTCGATCGCACCTCCACGTTCGAGGCAGCCCCCGTCCTCAGCTCGGGGAGGCCTCCCCAGACATGCAACGCCCTGAATTTTTCAGGACGGCGTCCCCGGAAGTCCAGACCCTTTCCCCGGGGCCGGTTCTTCATCCCGAGTCGTCTTTTGACGGTCCCGAGGCCCGGCGAGGGCCCCCCCGGGGCCGAAAATAGCCAAAAGCCTCCCGTCCTGACTTTTTTCACGACGCCATCCTGTCTGGGTCGTGGCAGGGCTCGAGTTGAACAGTGTTTTCCGTTTTCGTTTTGTTTTCGTCATCCCTAGTTCCGTCTTCGTTCCACATTTGCTGCAAGACGAAGCAAAAACGAAAACGGCCCACGAGATTGCCAAAACACCGTTTCGCTCGAGCCCTGGGTCGTGGACCTCCTCGCTGGCGGTGGCGCCCCCGGGTGGCGGCGGCGTCGCGCCAACTCTCTCCCTGCGCGCCCCGAGATGCCCCCGCCGCGCGGGCGCGGGGCACCCCGAGGCCCCCGCTCCCGTCGAGGGCGCTGGCGGCTGCGAAGCCTACGCCGAGCACGTCCCCCTACACAGGAGGGACGCTCAGAAACAGGAGAGGGCGCGATGCGCCGCCGCTCTGCTGTGGCAAACTCCCCCCCCTCGCCCCCCTGGTGCCGGCCGCTGCCGCGAGAAAGTTGAACAGAAAAGGCCGACCTCGATCCTCTGCCTCGCGACGACCGTGCCTCCACGCGCGAGGCAGCCCCCGCCCTCCGCTCGGGGAGAGAGGGCTAAACAAAAAAGGCCGACCTCGATCCTCTGCCTCGCTTCGACCGCACCTCCACGCGCGAGGCAGCCCCCGCCCTCCGCTCGGGGAGGCCTCCCCAGACATGCGACGCCCTGAATCCCACCAGCCCTCTGGGCGCAGGTGGTCTAGCGCGTTTCCTTTTCCAACCTCCTCCCTTTCCCTGTCTGTTCGGGAGGTTTACCTCCCCCCCCCTCCCTGCGTCTTGACGGGGGGGGGGGGGGGGCCGATGTGTCAGAGCGTCTCGTCTCTCTTGGCCCTCCGCTCGGGGAGGCCTCGCGGACCTCGCTGGAGGTGGCGCCCCCTCGTGGCGGCGGCGTCGCGCGAGACTCCCCGCGCGCTCCGGCGCAGCTCCGGCGTGCGCGCGCGCGGGGCGGCCCGAGAGGCCGCCGCCCCCGCCGAGGGCGGGCGGCTGCGGAGCTGAAGCCGAGCACGTCCCTCTACAGGAGGGAGGTTCGAAGATAGCCAAAACAATGCTCCGGGACCGTGCTGCTACTATCTTCGCCTGTTTTGGAATGTGCTTCGGCCCTGTTGCAACGCTCGCCCGCAATCCGCCTGCAGGAGGACATGCCCGGCCTGACGCTGAGCAGGGGTGCCCGACCCGACAGGCATCGAAAGGCCTACAGTCGGGCCGCTGAAAGAAGGAACGCCACGTAAGGAACGAAGCCTCTCCTTGGCCCGAAAAGGGTCTCCGTGCCCCAGGAGGGCAAAGGGAACAGCAATAGAGGAGCCCAAGGAACATCGAGCCCCCTCCGACACACACTTTGTTCCTTCTTCAGCGTGTCTGGTCATCTCATGGGGGGTGGGGGGGGGAGGCGGAGCGCACGTGCGGCAGAGGGCACCGAGCGCCACGCAGGCAGACTCGGGCAGCGGCCTGACCGAGGGAGGGGAAGGGGAGAGAAGGGGGGGGGGAGGGGGGGAGAGGGGAGGAGGGGAGGGGAGGATGGGGAGGGGGGAACGGGGGGAGAAGAGGGAGGCAAGGAGGGGGGGGCGGGTGCAAGGAGGGAGGAAAGCGGGTGGAAGGAGGCCCTGGCGGGGCTGTGGCATCGCAGTGCTTCCGCCCGCATGGCCCAAGGCCCCCCCCCCCCGTGAGGCGCCAAGGCCCGCGGCCACGCTGCGGCCGCCCGCGGACTGGAGCCTCCAGCCGACGGGAGGGCCTCCTCGCTCCTCGCTCCTCGATCCTCGCTCCTCGCGCCTCGCTCCTCGATCCTCCATCCTCGACCCTCGATCCTCGATCCCCGCTCCTCGATCCTCGATCCTCCTCCTCCTCGATCCTTGAAGCCTCCCGCTTTCTCGCCGATCGCCGCGCCCCCGCGAGAGACCGCCCCCGAGGCGAAGGAGCAGGATGAGGAGCAGGAGGAGGAGGAAGAGGAGGAGGAGGAGGAGGAGGAGGAGGAGGAGGAGGAGATGGAGGAGGAGGAGGAAGAGGAGGAGGAGGAGGAGCAAGGGCAGCCCCGCGAAGCCAGGGACTCCGCGGCGCGCGAGGCGCGCCGAGACGCCTCCGCGCCCCCCGCGTGGCGACCGCGGGGAGAGCGGGGAGCAGCGACGAGAGGGAGGAGGACGAGCAGGGCCCCCCCTTCGATCCGCCGTCTCTTCCCGGTCCTCCTCCTCCCACCTTTCGCCTTCCTCGTCCTCCCTTCTCCTCGTCCTCACGACGAGGATGAGGAGGAGGAGGAGGAGGAGGAGGAGGAGGACGAGGAGGAGGAGGAGGAGGAGGAGGAGGAGGAGGAGGAGGAGGAGGAGGAGGAGGAGGAGGGGGAGGGGGGAGGAGGAGGAGGAGGAGGGGGAGGAGGAGGAGGAGGGGAGGGGGAGGAGGAGGAGGAGGAGGGAGGAGGAGGGAGGAGGAGGAGGAGGAGGAGGGGGAGGACGACGACGTGGAAGAGTCGGTCGCCCTCCACGTCGTTGTCCTCGTCCTTCCCCCTCCTGCTACTTGTTCCGCTCGACCGGCTGGCGACGCTGCCTGAGGCGTACATCGAGGACAAAATGCGCGACGCCATCTGGTCGATCCTGGCATCGCTTGGGGGGTTTGGCAGGGCATATGTGGACCGTCGGAGAAGGAAGCGTTGGATAGATGGGCCACATACTGGCACACTTGCATCTCATGACCTCGTCTCCCTTCCCCTCAGCCCCCCCCCCCCTTCTGCAGCTCATTCACCTCCTCCTTCGCCTCCCCCCTCCCTCTCCCTCCTCCTCCTCCTCCTCCTCCTCCTCTCCTCCTCCTCCTCCTCCTCCTCCTCCTCCTCCTCGTGCTCCCTCGTTGCTGCTGCCACACGAGGTGCGCCTGAGCGTTCGCCAGCAGGCCGGCGGACGCTCTCCCAGGATATGTTAGATTCGGCTCCTCCCCCTCCTCCTCCCACTTCTCCTCCATCCTTCTGAAAACCTCCAGCTGTCCTTCCCCGCCCTTCTCCTCCTCCTCCTCCTCCTCCTCCTCCTCCTCCTCCCCTTCCTCCTCCAGTTATTTCTTTTCCTCTTCCTCCTCCTCCTCCTCCTCCTCTTCCTCCT